CCTTCCATTCAACTTGGAGCTTCTTTTTTTGTGTTGTTCATTTATTTTTCATGTTTGGTCCTTTGGCATTTGGATGATAGTTTCTTCTGTATAAACCTCATCTCTTCAACATGCCTTTGCTTTTTGTGGTGTAGAAGGCAAATCTATTTGGCTGCTCTGATGGTTTAAAGTAGTAATTGCTTAGGTTTCCACCCTGGCAACAACTGTATTTGAGTAGAATTCTGAGTGTGAGTCACTGAGTAGAACATGTAATTAACAAGACTAAAGGAAGAGCTCTGATCTTTGAAAATACTGGTCCTCAGTTTATACATCTATAAAATGAAAGAATTGGAAACACATCTCTTAAAGGACCTCCAACTCAGACTGTCTAAGATCCTAAAAATCTCCAACTGTTATAAACCTCTTCTTCCACCAAGTTCTTATGAATCTTTATGGAGACTTTCCTTTACTTCTATATCTTCTATATCTTTCTGGGAGGTTTTGAAATTTATCAGAAGCAAAGGGTACATTGACCTTCTTGCTTCTACTACTGTGGGAATGGAGGCCAGATCTAGCTGGTTTCCTTGAGGATAGAAAATGGGAAAAAATAAATTGTAATAGGTGAACTTCTACTTCTATAATGAGATCTGTGGGTTTCTATTTGTACCTGTTTGAGGTACGGGAAAGAGATGATAGTAAAACAGGCCCAGAGATCATCAGACCATGGGCTTCTGGAGTTCAGAGACTGAGTCTTATTCATTTCTCTACCTGCAATAATACACTGTACTGTACAGAGAATATGCTAATTAAATTGTGGAATTGAAGATAGACGACTTAGGACTGTTTCAGGGATTCACCTCTGAGGTGATTTAAAAGATTATTTTTAACCTATTAGAAAAGTTTTATAGAACTATGCTGATTCAGTCTGAAGAAAAAAGAGCTATAGGGGTGTTTTAAGTTGAATGGAAGTCTCTCTGATGGATTTAAGTTCAAGGAGGAAATCATATACATCAAAACACTGATAATGCAGAAACTAAACAAATAAGTATTCTGAGACTCAGAATCAGGTGGACAAAGAGGGATCAATAGATGAAGAAAAATCTAGACGATTCCAGAACCTTCTCTGTTCTAGAGATTTGCTTTTCTGGTTTTGTGTGTGTAGGGATCATGGAACTTCTCTTCCCCCTTCTTATTCTGTTCCTCTAGTGGTTCTTGACTTGCTGATCTGATTAAGCCTGGTCATATTCTTTATCATATTTCCTGTTAACTTCATTTATTTCTACCACAAGAAGTGTAAATGCAGTTAAATAAAATTTAAACAAAGTTTCTAACAGTACACAGTAAGCATTATAGTACACACTAGGAACTCAAGATTTGCTAGTTGGGCCTTATAGCATACAAAACACTTTCTCATCCATTATCTTCTTGTTCCTCATGAAGTTGTTGTTACCTAAATATTGGAAAGGTGGTATATAATGCTCATAGCCAGGGTATATACTCAGAGTATGATTTGGAGCAGAGAGCTAGCAAATCTTTCTTTACTTAATAATTTGGTGTTGGCATTCTTTACCTAGGACTGTACCCCCATTTTGATTAACTTGACCATAGCAGCTCAATGAGAAAGATCCAGTCTTCTTACCCTGACAAATAACTTTTATTTTAATTTCCCTCTTCACTCCCAGGGCTACCTTATTTTCTTTCAATCTTATAATTGATAATATTAAATACATATACAAATCTATAGTTCCTTTTGAGACTGAGATTTCCTTTCTGACCTTTAGCTAGGATCTCTGGGCACGTTTTTTGCCTACAGCTGGTAACGGTCTCCTAAGGGCAAGTATTTTAATTCTGTGTTGATTGGAAGTAAGGCTGTGTTGTGTCATAGCAGGACCTTAACTTGGAATGTATTTTGTAATGATAGCCCAGAATGGTGAAAAGACCCCTAAATGAAGTCTTGGGAGACCAGGGCTCCCACCAGCTCAACCCTGTGTGTAATGATGCTTCGGAAAAGCTCTAGTTCTTCTGTATCAGTTTTCTCCTATCCAGAAAGAAGGACCGGGCTTTACCTTCCAAAAGCCCTTCTATCTGACATTCTCTAGTTTATAAACATTAAAATGCTATTCCATCATATGGTGGCTGATTTGTGCTTTTACATGTTTGTGAAGTATCATGGCAGGTGCTAAAGTTCTCTGGGAGTGATGGGACAATGCTTGGTATAGTCTTTGCAGGAGAGGATGTGTTCAGGGGGCTAATTTGAAGCCTCTGAACTGAAGCCACAACCCAGAGGCTTATTTTAGATCTAGTATGTCCTTGACTGGATGAATGATAGTAGAATCATGACCGTAGCTATCTACACCCTTTACATAGTTACCGAGGTCATGAGGTGTCACATGGAAATAGCCAAAGAGCATATGGTAAAACTGAGATTCAGAAAATGAAACTAGCTTATTCATAGTCACACAGCATTAAGTGTCAGAACCAAGACTCTAACACAAGAATACCTGACATCCTGTTCTTTGCATTTTTCACTTTACTCTGTTACCTCATATAATATCTTTCATGGTGAGCACAAGTAACTAATAAAGCACTCTTGGTTATAAAGGCATCTATATTCTCCATAATTGTCCTTATGACATTTGACAGAAGATGATAGATTTTCATAGACCCCTGGTACTGAAGTCTTTGCTGAGAAGCACTGCCTTAGTTTTACCTTTGGAGAGAATTCTTAGTTGTAGATTTATCTTCTCAGATATCTCCAGTGGAGCTTGGGAGAGAAGGTTGGCTGAACTTGTTTGTTTATTTATTTATTTATTTATTTTCTTTTTTTATTTAAATTCAATTAGCCAACATATAGTACATCATTAGTTTAGATGTAGTGTTCAATAATTCATCAGTTGCCTATAACACCCAGTGTTCATCACATCACGTGCTCTCCTTAATGCCCATCACCACATTACCCCACCCCTCACCCACCTCCCCTCCAGCAACCCTCAGTTTGTTTTCTATAGTTAAGTGTCTCATGGTTTTTCTCCCTCTCTGATGATTTTCCAGTTTTCCTTCCCTGCCCTATGATCCTCTGTGCTGTTTCTTATATTCCACGTATGAGTGAAACCATATGATAATTGTCTTTCTCTGATTGACTTATTTCACTCAGCATAATACCCTCCAGTTCCATCCAGGTCGATGCAAATGGTAAGTATCCATCCTTTCTGATGGCTGAGTATGAACTTGTATATTTAGAAGTATGCTTCATCTCTGAGAAATGTCATTGCCATGCTCAAATTGGTTATTTAGAAATAGGGTCCCTCTTGAATTTCATGCTTAAACTTCATTTGAGGTTTCCCTAAGGTAAAAGAATATAAAGTGTACTTATTAGAGAAGCTATCTTGGCAGATTTTTGTTGCCTTTGGATAAAAACAAAATTGCACCCAGCACATAAATTGACATATGAAGCAGTAAATAATTTCATTGTGCAAGTTGTTTTAATGGACTAAAGCCAGAATGATCCATTAACCAGCATGCATACAATATTCACTGAGCTTAGAGTTTATTACCAGGCCAGGAGAAAAAAAAAAAAAAAAAAGAAGAAGAAAGAAAGAGAAGAAACAGAATGAAGGAATGTATGGGGGAGAAGATAAATGCCAGCATAGCAGCTGGGAAGGTGAGAGGTTAGAAAGGGAACCTTAGAAGTATGTACAATATGTTTCTTTTCCTCTCTTCTTTTTTTTTTTTTTTTTCTTTGTGGGTGAAGGATTAAGTAAAAAAAAGGTTCAGTGTCAGTTTTCAAACATAATGATCAAAAATCTGAGAACTGGGCAGTAGAATGTGCCAGGGTCTTTTCTAACTTTAAGAAGAATCTCAGAGATCAGCCAGTGGGGGAGAGGGGTGGCATATGCTTATGTGTGAGATTGTGTTTATACACATATCTACTTGGACAAACACTCAGAAGCCACAATAGCATTCCCAAAGGAATTCCGCCTTAATACAGGAAGTGACAGCTTTGTGAAGGCACCACAATTAAGCTCTGGGTTTTTATTCTAGATCCCAGGATTTAATTTCTAGAAGAAATGAGAGCTCTGTGATGTTCCATGGGACTGTTTAAAAGTACAGGCAACTTAGTTTTAAAGCTTGTTGAATGCAAAGCACCTGAGCTTGGCTTAACCTCCAGGGATCTCTTTGCATTCAGAGATGTCTAAAACCACAAACCATAAATTCTGATGGGCCCATGTGAAAGAAAAGACCACAGGAATTACAGTTTTGTTATTCAACGTGGCCACACTCTCCTGCCACAACTTCCCTCCCATCACTCCCAAGTTTCCTCTTGTTTTGCACTTGGGTTTACCAGATGGCCAGGCCTGGGCTATTCCAGAGGGTGTTTGAAAAGGCAGGCACAATTCCTTTACTAGCTTTGATATGTTTGTTTCTGCAACTTTGCTGGATGGAATGTGTGCAGAGAATAGAGAACTATGAGATATAAAAGCTGAAGTGACAGGCATTTTGAATTGGTCGTCATCCCTCTTAAGGATCATACATACACTACTGTTATTGATGTCCCATGTCTCTTCTCAGTCATTTCCTGCTGTGTTTACTGTTTTGTGGAAACTGGAGCTGCTGTCATTTCGCTCCTCCTTGAAACTGCCCACCACCTCAATACTTCCAGTTCCTGTCCCACCCCACCCTGACTCTCCCTCTCCCTTTTTCTTTTAACTGTTACCATTGGAATATTGGCATGAGGTTAATGTCCCTATTTCCAGCCCTGGCCTTCTGTCCTCAGCAACAGAGTCACATTTCCAACAGGCATTTCCACATAGGATTCTCAACAACACCTAGAACTCATCATGTTTGGAACCAAATTTATCCTTTTATTCTTACCTCTTAAATTTCTGGAACAATCAGTTAGTAGGCAAGCCACTTAGCATCATTATAAAGGCTAACTGAGACACTGCTTTACTTTCCCATCCTTTTCTTTTTGTTTTAATTGAATGACAATGGCTAATCTAAAGGAAACTTCTTTCTTGTAGGAGACAAGGAGAAGGCCTTAGGATCTACTGGGGGAGTCTGGAAGAACACTCCCTCTTTTCCCGCTGGAACCCATGGTCCACTGAGGTGCCTTATGCGACCTTCACTGAGCATCCCATGAAATACACCAGTGAGAAATTCCTTGAAATTTGTAAGGTAGGCAGTTTGGGCATCACTCTTAGATTACCTTTGACAGTGAAGCTGTGTTCTTCTAAGACATGTACTATTCCAAAAAAAAAAATAATAATAATAAGATACAACCTGAATTTATACAGATACAAACTTTAAAAGGTTTGAACTATTTTTTAGTAAACAGTGGGGCTGTTTTCTTTATTAAAAAATATATAATGTTTATATTAACCATATTATGATGTTTCCTCCTTGCTAATTTCTTATAAAAATTATAGTATAATGTATTTAAAAATTGCAATACTTGTGTCTTCTGATTGTGTTTATTGCCAAAAGGATACATAAAATTTTCTGTATGTAATTAAATTCTAATTATTTTATTCAGAGAAGGTGTGTGGGATAGTGTGAAGTATAAAGTCAGATATGGCTCTTTGGTCATGTTTGTCACTTTTCTTTCTGGACCTTGGTAGTCTCATCTCTGAAATGGACATAATGATGATCACTGCCCTTCCTCCTAACTTCATTGGAACACTGTAAGGTTAAATGGGATAATGTGTATATAAATGCTCCATAAATGGTAAAGCAATTAAGAGTATTAAGTAAGAGTATTTTTATGTCTTTCAATCTCATTTCCCCAAATAGATCTTAAGTTTATCAGTGACAGCGTGAGTCCTTCTACTCTTTTTCCATCCCCTCTAGGGAAATTTAGGCAGCGCTAGCACACTAAGTAGGCAGGAAGTAAAACAGTTGGAGCTGTAAATGCAGAAAATGATCAAACTTTTATATTTTCAGCAAAATCCGTATACACATAGGAGTGTGCTTATAGGCCTAGAAATTCTTGCCTTCTCTAGCCTTTCTATGTTTACTTTTATATGCTGTCATTCACTTCCAAATATCACAACTCTCTATTTGCCATAAATTCAAAAGATTGCAACATACATCTAAAGTCTGTGGATGGATGGCGTGCATTGCATTGCCTGCATTGTTTTCAACACACCTATTCATGCAAGTATGTATATGTATAAAAAACATTTTTAGTTGATAAGTCTCCTATTTTGAAAAGGATTTGGGAGAAACATGTGATTAAAGGATAGACAGAGTCTTCATTCCCCCAAATATATAGGTGGAGTTGGCTTAAATCCCTTCTGCTCTCAGAAAGGTCAATGGTCTTTTCAAGATTTATGTGGGGTGCCTGGGTGGCTCAGTTGGTTAAGCGACTGCCTTCGGCTCAGGTCATGATCCTGGAGTCCCGGGATGGAGTCCCACATCGGGCTCCTTGCTCAGTGGGGAGTCTGCTTCTCCCTCTGACCCTCTTCCCTCTCGTGTTCTCTCTCTCTCATTCTCTCTCTCTCTCGAATAAATAAATAAAATCTTAAAAAAAAGAAAACATTAAAAAAAGATTTATGCAAACATCCTCAGGGACTTATGGTCTCAAGGTATACCTCTGGCTTATTGCAGGCACTGAGTTAATTCATTGTATGGATCATGTGATAGTCCAATTTCACGATGCTGCAGCCCAAGCTTCAACATCAGCCCCTAGCCTGACTCTTCCATCCAAAAGCAAGAAAACAGCACAAAATGAAAACCAATGAGAACAACAAAAACACTTACACACAGGCATTGATGTGAGAGTAGACTTGCTGAGGGCTTCAGGGAAATGGAGTGGGAATTTACATCATAATAATGAGTCCAAACTTCACGGGGAATATCAGCTCTCCCTGTTTTTAAAATCCTTATTAATAATAATACTCTGATACATTGCTTCATAATCCTCTCTCCTCCCCTCTGGATCCTGCTTTGCTCCTCCCCAAACACTTGCCCTTCCTCTTCCCTTCTTCTCCTTCCTCTTCTTTTTTTCCCTTCTTCTCCTCCTTCTTTTCTTCTTATTAACAGCTCAGAGTATTTTATCTGTTTCTTTTCTTTTTTTTAAACACCTGCTAATCCAACCCAAAATGCTTAATAATGTATTTTTCCAAAACCATTTCCCACCTTTAAAGGAAGTCTAATTCTGGCCATTAAAATACTATGTATTTTTGCATTAATAGTCCTTGTATTTTATTGTAAGTTAAAATAAATACCAACTGCCTTGGTTATTACATCCATTACTTCCTGAGCCAAGTCTCTTATTCCTCATACCTGATGCATTAAGTACTTACTCCTTGAGTGTCCTTTGCTGGAAGACGTTCAGGGTAAGGGATTAGAGAATAAGTTCTATTCACTGCCGAGAAATGGCACTGCATTACTCTAATTCTTGATGGTACTTTGATTTATTCTGATACATATGAATACAATCAAATAATTTTAAAAGGAAGATAAGAAATAAAATGTCAGAAGGGGGATAGGATAATTATTTCCCAAATACCATGAATGTGGTTAGTAGAATGGAGTATTAGTTTTACACAAGTCTTCCTATTAGTCAAGGCTAAAGGGAAAACTCAATGTTTATATAGCTCTTGTTGGATGGGAGTAAGAATAGCAGGTGTGTGTGTATGCACTCGAGCACACATGTGTGGACGTGAGTATAATGAATGGTTGTTCAGTTGGTTGGTTTTCAGTCAATCAAACTATTTTGTGGATCTGTCAAGTGTATTTCCTTTATGGTTTTTCTCCTTAAACTACTCTTCCAAAGCTTTTTTTTTTTTATAATTTCCTGGCAACAGTCTGGCGTTTTTCTTTTGCCAAACTATTTCTTATTCAAAGGCCACCCCAAGTCCTGATTCTCTATGAAAACAAGTGATCTCCATCTGTGATGTCAGATGATGAGTACTCTGATCCAGTTCTTTGAGTCTTAATTTCTCTTTTGTTGTTGTTTTTTATGTCACAATATTATTTGTGTTTAGGATATTTTCCAAGATTGGCTTTGATTAATACTCAGTTATATTAATGTAAATGAGTAAATAAGAAGAAAGATAATTCTGTGGACATATAATTCCTTTTATGTGAGTATTTTGGCATAACATAAGATTTTAAAAGGATGATATAAACTAGTTTTTCCATTCCCCTTATAAATGAAATGGGAAAAAGTAGAAAAATATGGGGAAAATGCATAACTAAACTAAATACCTGAAGCAATTTAATTCAGTTTAGCAGATCTATTATGGCAGAGGAAAAAGAATCCTGTAGAGCTGGGTTACACATAGTCAAAATTTTCAAATTATGTACGATCTAATGGAATAACTTATTTAAAAAAATACATTAAAAAATCCAAATTTATTCTTACTCAGAGCCTTTCCTTGTATAGCACCTGGGATCTCTTTATTCAACAAATATTTTCTGACACCTACAAAGTACAGGTATTATTGTTCAGGATACAAACATAAATGAGACAAGATTCATGTCTTTGTGGAAGGCATTGCTTAACAGAGGAGGTAGATAAAAATGCAAAGATTTTTAAATGAGTACTAAATTGATTAAATCAGAAGTTTAGATCAAAGGACAAGGAGTGGAGGCACATGAAGGTACAAGGAATATTCTTAGACACGGGGTAATTTATTTTAGCTGGAGTTTGTGGAGTTTAATCTTATATATTCCCATCGTGATTATAATGGTTCAAATAATAGGTATAAGGGCTTAGGTTAAGGGCAGTAGGAATGGAGAGAAAATAAATTTTGAGATATTCAAGACACTGAATTAATGGAAGTAGGTAACTTACAGGATATAGTAGTAGGTGGAGGAGAGAAAGAGGTTGAAGATGATGTGGTTTCTGGCTTGGGTAGATGGTGATTCCATTAATTTCAGTGGGGAAAACTGAAAGGAGAGTAGGTTTGGAGGTTCAGTGTAGGACATGTTGAGTTTGACACCTCCATGGAACATGTGGATCAGTTAGTTGTCAGGCAGTTAGAAATTTAGGTCTGAAGCTCAAGAGAGAAAGATGAACTGGTGATAAAGGTTTTAGATCATACAACTTTGGGTCAAAGCTGAGTCATGGGCTTGGTTGGTCAGGCCAGTACTGTAGGAAAGAGCCTTAATGGAAACATTCATTGCACTTAAATACAAATTCATATTATTTCTAAGTCTCTTAACACTGATCTAAAAAAATTTACTGTTGGGGTGCCTGGGTGCCTCAGTCATTAAGCGTCTGCCTTTGGCTCAGCTCATGATCCCAGGGTCCATGGATTGAGCCCCCGCATTGGGATCCCTGCTCTACGGGAAGCCTGCTTCTCCCTCTCCCACTCCCCCCTGCTTGTGTTCCCTCTTTGCTGTGTCTCTCTCTGTTAAATAAATAAATAAATAAAGTCTTTTAAAATAAATAAAAATAAAAACAGTACTATAAAATTGATATAACGCAGCATCAAAATACATCATGTTTTCTTGTATTCATCTCACTAACTCTATGGCATTCTACATCTGGCAAATATGATGGTCAAATGGCCTCTTTCCAGACATGCTTGCTTATCTCTGAGCCTCACCAACCTGTTCCAATCTGTGTATGCATATACTTTGCATTACTCATATAAAACAGTTGTGAAAATACGAAATAATCATTTTTTGGCATTGACTTTCTTGTTACAAGACATAAAAATAATCTCATGTAATATTATGTAATCAGACTATATTTATTGATTACAGTTTGTATGTTTTCATGTAATTCAACTAACAAAAACCCTGTGAGGTCAAGATAGCTATCTCTTTTTTAAAATGAAGATACTTAGAGTGATTAAGTGAATTGACTAAGGTATTACAATAAAATGCTCTATTTCCACACCTAAACAATTTGCTAATAAGCAGGGAAATGGGTATAAACCTGAGCAAACTCTGTGCGTGCATGTGTGTGCGTGTGTGTGTGTGATGTGATGGAATGTGATATATTATACTTATGACGTGACTCAATTATCCTCGATTGTTTCATCCACTTTATATTAGTAATTTGTAGTCTCATTTCCCCTGTTTTAACCGTTGCCTTGCCGGGTTCTTAGGATGTGTGGACAGTCTTGCTGGGAGGAACTAATGACCCAGCCAGAGCTGGTGAATAATAGTGAACGGGTCATGAATGCTCTATAACCAAATCAAAGGGATCTACAGACCAA